CATGCCCGAGAAGCGCTTCACGCTGCCCGTCAGCAGCCCGGTCACGCTCAGGAAATCCGAGTCCTGGATGGTGGGAAAGGACACCTTGGAGGCCTTACAGAATCATGGAACTTCCCGAGTTTCCCAAGGGAACATCCCGAGTCCCGAGGGATTCAAAGCGATGAGCCAGTCCAGCTCCAAGCCCTGCACGGGACACCCAACAATCCCAGTGCTGATTTAGGGCTTCTCCCTTCAGGGTTTTTGCTGTCCCACCTCTCATCCCAGTTCCCTGATTTGCACAGAAAGCCCCGTCTGTCTGTCCTGTCTCCCAGTCCTTACCATGCCATCCAGGTAGCGGTTCTGTTCCTCAGCATCCTTGTCAATATCCAGAGCCAGCTGCAGGGCAAGGCAGGAAATGGGTATTAATGAGCTTTTAATGTCCAGAGAACCTCTAAAATCTGAAAGGTGAATTATTTAAACAAGCTGCTGCTTTCCCAGCTCAAACAGACACGCAGGGGCTTGTCTGATGCAGGAACAAGGAAAATGGAATTTCCCTGCCAGGCAGGTGATCTTTTCCAGCTCTGAAAATAAAGTCTGGCTGTCTAAATCTGCCAGCTAGAGAGGGGAGTTTAAACCCTGGGACACAATGGCAGGAATTCAGCCTGTCCTTTTAAACAGTGAGTCATCAACTTCTTTCATGGTTTGTACTAAACTTTTAATAATAATATAGAGTTTACAGCTCTAAATCAAAGTGTTTGATGTTAATAGGAGCACACTGTAGGGTGATAAAATATAAGAAAATAAAGACAGTGTAGAAAGTAATCTTACCCCTAAGGAGTTGTAGCTGGGCCAATTACCAAAGATTAGGAACAGGCCTGGCTTTACCAGGCCACGGCTGTAAGCAATGAGAAGAAGAGTGCTATAAAAGGGTGGGGTGGCTGGGTGAGAAGGGAACTGGAGTCTGTTGGCTACTTTGTGAAGAAAAAAGATGCAGTACTCTGAGGAGTTACCCATAAGAAACACCAAGAGGGTATGAAACTTTTGTGATAGGGAGACAACATATGGAACCCCTGCAATAAGATGGCAACAGTGAGTCATTGCCTTCTTTCATGGCTTGTACTAAACTTTTAATAATAATTTAGAGCTTAAAGCTTAAATCAAAGTGTTTGATGTTAATAGGAGCAAACCAGCTTTAAGAACAGCTACACAGAGACACAGGTATTTTCCAAAATTAATCTACCTGCCTTTTTTCATGAATATATGAATATTTCCCTGAGGAGGTGAGCTTAGCAACACCCCTGTGCTCAGGCTGGACAGGGCTTGGAGCAACCTGGTCTAGTGGAAGGTGCCCCTGCCCATGGAAAGGGGTGAGACTGGATGAGCCTTAAGGTCCTTTCCAACCCAAACCTTTCCATGGTTCTGTGATCCCCTGCAGGACTCCAAGGTAACCAGAGGCTGTCCTTCAGCTCAACACGTGTGCGACCTCGGCACTCACCGACTTCAGCCTGGTGACCTTGGTGGCCAGGCTGTCGGCCATCCGCTTGTTCTCCACGTCCAGCAGGTCCTCCATGGCGCTCGGACTCTGCCCTGGGGAGAGGAACGAGGAGCCCACATCATCCCTGCCCTGCCACAGCCCCTCCTTGCACGGTTTGCACCGTGGAACCCTCTGAAAATGTGACCAAAACACCACAGACTTCCCCTAAACGCGCCAGGGCGAGAACCAGACTGGCACCCTGGATTGCCACCGTGGCCCAGCAGCAGCTGCGGGGGTTCCACGGCCAGTGACACCCAGGGGTGAGATATGGGTGAAACCCGGCAGATCCGGGGCCCTTTGCCCCTCGGCCGTGTTGGGGTCTCTCGGCATTGCCCCCCCTTGTGGGGCAGGTGGGGTCCGGGGGGGGGATTAGGGGTTCCGGGGCAATTAGGGGCTATGGGGGAAGCTGGGGACTCAAAGGCGTTCAAGGGGGGCAATTAAGGGTTTCGGGGGGCAATTAGGGGTTGGGGGGGCAGCCCAGGACCCCAAACGGGGCCCAGGTAGGCAATTAGGGTTTATGGGGGGGCAATTCCCGGGCTATAGGGGAGAAATCGGGGCACTGCAAGAGGCGCCGTGGGGTTCAGTGGGATGGGGAGTTCCTGCTCCCTCTGACCCGCTCCAGCCCCTCCT